AATTGCTAGGCAGATCATCAAAGTGGTCTAAACACCGGAAGACCGTTTCGTTTATTTGGGGCCGAGTTCATCGTCGATGGACCCGGTTTTACCCAGATCATAGAGTAGAATTATTTCAAATCACCTAATTTTCGGCTGGCTAGCTTGGACGAAATGGTAATTCCATAAATCAAATTCACAATTTTCAGATCAATTTGAGCATTTTTTTCTGTTAATACAATTTGAGGAGGTGACATTTCGCAATAGTTTCCTTCGGAAATTGAAATCGTTCACATATGTAGTTAATTCGACGGCCAAACCATGAAATGATATATGCTAAGAATACAGTGAAAAGAAAATAAGCGTTGGATGTCTATCTTGTAACTCTTCGGCGGCATGCATCTGTGACTGTGCTTGTCATTAATAGAAAAGTCCCTTTCAATTTCAAAATCGCCATCCTTCTACTTCTATTAGCCCTTTCCTATTGATTATACGGTAACTCCATAGTCGTATTTTTTTTAATACTTTGTGTTCCCAGTGGAACGTAGAGCTTCAAGCTTGAGCCCTGAAGTTTTGTTAGCACTACTGTTTATAATTTACGTGAGATGGCTACCAACGTCACTCCCAACCTCCCTTCTTTCTCTGCCTTACAACTGGCCAGTGGAGATACAGACGTGCACTAGCCGATAATCGAACGCGGCACCACGTACATGGTTGAAGAGCATTCCACCGCTGAACCACCGATGCACTCCGCATTCATAAATCACCGGTATTCACATGACCTGCACTAGACTTTGTTTACCGTACTGAGCATCGCCTTTTAGACCGAAGTTTGAAGAATCAGGTTTCATTTAAGTGACTCATGCAAATTTGATGGACATTTTAAGTGCTACATATAAGTCTAATTTGCAAATGACAGATATTGTAAATTATGTGACATTACATTCCTAATCATTTGATATTAGAAAAGTTTATTTCAAATATCACACAGTGATGCAGTATCAATAGTTTCATGACAAGCTTTTGAGCATAGAATATTGCTACTCATTCATTATCATATCAATTTAGGCACACAGCTTCACAATTTGTCTTATATGTACTTCCTCTCTTTCCCTCTCTCTCTCAATCTTCCCCTTGTCATTTGTTGCCACTTTTCATATCTCCGTTATAGGCGTTGAAGCATATCGACTCCACGTGTGCCGCGTTGAATCGATAAACAACGAATCAGTGATTAGCCACTCTGTCTCTTCAACTTAATATAGTAAGTTTTCGTACACTCACCCTGTCCCAACCACGTATCGTGTGGTTACACACAAGTGAATATAATGCAACGACAGAGGTTTTTTTCTAGGTTATTTAACTCCGCAGGGTCAACTGTCTTAGGTGTGATTAAATTTGTTTGTTCCAACAATCTTGTTGAACCCGATCCCCTACTAGTTTGACCTGTGTAATTTGACCTTGCTACTCATTCCTTCCCACTGCTTATCCGATCTTCACTTTGGAGCTGATGAAAGCGGTTGTTGACAAAACATTTTGCAGTGGCCTGTTGGAAATGCTTTTCGTGACGCGCTGGCCTAGTTTCTGACGCGTTTGGAAGAACTGATTGACTTAACATCGGTGTTGAATACCTGATTTTCTTTCTGTATGTTGAGTGCAGAAGATTTCTACAATGACTTCAGATTAGTGAACGTCTACCTTACCTTTACGATTCTAGTTTGACACCCACATTTAAGCCAGCTGTAGTTTAACACTGCTTACTAGATTAGTGGAGGAAGTGATCTCTTTCGAATTCCTCCTACCAGTAGTGATTGGTACTAATTATTGATGGTTGGTTATCAACTCCGATAGTTTATTTAAAATCCAGAAATTTCATCAATCTCAAAAGGACCACCTGTAACTGGCTTCAAATGAACTTTTCTCAGTTTCTGACATGAATGGTAATAAACATCCATTTACTTTCACGTAGTCCAGCAAGAAATCAATTTCCACAGTGTGGATTGATTCATTCATTAGCCAGAATGCCACATCCTGGGTTACAGACTTGTGCATTATCGCTGACAGGAACACAAAAAAATCCAGTTTGAGTTATTCACTTGATTTCATCTGAATGACATTATGTGTTTCCAAGATTTATCCCAAAACTTTTCGGAGAATATATGGTTAGTACTCGTAACGATGGCAAAAAGCTTCACAACAGAAAACGCATTGATCAAGTAAACATTTATCAATGTGTTTTCCGTTTGTAGAGGCCTGTAATAATTTAAAAAAGAGACTGTAATTTTTATCAATGCCAATCCATAATCTTCGGTTATACACCCATTGATTGAAGTCCAGATCAAGTATAAAATAAATTGTGCTCTAAGCTGTTAGGTTTATTTCAAAATGAAACAGTGAGATTCATTCATATTAGCAGGTGATTTGAAAGCCCAGCTGGTAGACTTTGTCAGTGAGAACAGAGTATTGGTGACATTCCTCACCTGCCTGTTCCTGACAAGTATTAACATCACCTGTAAGGAGGAAGAGTGTCTCACTTAGTGACCACGAACATTAAACCACGAGATAATTACTGAAAAACGGTCAGTTTCATTGTTAATAACACTTATTGCTGTTAACAACGTAAATTTTTTAAATTACACTGAACCAGTAGAATCGACAGATTACAGTTCAAAAGCATCAATATAACACTAAAATGACTATCAAGTAAATCACAGGAAGTAATTTATAAGAGTTTATGTTCTATAGTAGGTCAGCCGGGAATTGAACCCCCGACCATGCACATGGTCCGTGGTTCAATCCCCGGCCGATGCACCCCTTTACCTCTCTAAGTCAGAAATAATGCTGGTAAAGGGGAAAGGTTGGGCATGAGGCTAGCAACCCCATCCTCTAAAAATTAAACACTGCTACAGAAACTTCAAACCACTAGCTTGGGGCCCTATGTTCCACTAGGAACGTGAAGGAAAACAAAAAAATAGTATGTCAGAGTAGCAGTAGCAGCCGTATAGGCCTGTTTCGATTACATTCAGACCTACCGTTTTTAGTGTTTGGAGTTTAGAAGCCTTAGGTATTTTTCTTCGATACCCGATATATGATAGTGAAATACTCTTCAATTCTAGCCAGCTTTGTAACCTATTTCGAAGTGGCGATTTAATATCGAAGTGTTGATGGTCTTAACAACACTGGTTGATGTTGCCAGGTAAGAAAAAAATTAAGTTCCAAGATCAACAGCCAATATAACCGACTCCACACGAAAAGTAGCTGAATTGATAGATACATTTAGAGGTGGACAGCCTAGGTGCATCTTCATTCAGTCTTCGAATCAAAGCCGGTTGCGTGGAGAACGTAATCTGCAGCTTACCGAAATTGGACGTTCTTTGAATTGTTTTCCTCAACTCATTGGTTATAATTTCACTTGGAATAACACGTGTGAATTGTAGTCGTATATATATACAGGCCTCTAGTTAAAAGATACAGAAGAATTCTGTTCTATTCTCTTGGCCATGAGTTTAGTGATGAACTAACTACTCAGGGTAGCTGTTTTCAGTTAATATTTCTCACACAACTTTAGGTTCATCTTCAATCAAATCTTCTGAAAAAGTAGATCTTTTACACCTGAAGGGGGACGAAGCTGTGGAAATAAGTATACTGACTGGTACAATTCCTTTTCTAATGCCGACTGTTTTTAATGCTTCCGTCTGATCTTCTTGTCAGAAGGATGTCTAAAAAGGCAATTTTACTTTGAGGTACTTGTTCACTCATGAATTCGATATCTGAATGTACTTCATTGAATTGCGAATATTATTACTTTCCTGTCTTAATCATTTTCATAAAGGATGGCAGTATCATCCATATATCGACAATATAATGAGAATACTACGAAAAGATTGTTTAAAGTGCGATTTTTGAGTTTACTCAGAGAGAAATCCGCTAATATGGGACCCAATAAGAAACCCACTCCCATCCTATCCACCTGTCTATAGAGATTACTGTCAAATTAAAATTCACATTCATGGTACATTTTAATGACAGTTCTCTGAGGATTACATCTGGGATCTCAATTCTTTTTGACCCGTTACTCATTTGTTCATGGATGAAATTAACCGTTTCAATTAGAGGTACATTTGTGAATAGAGATTTTGCGTCCAAAGGTATCATAGTTTTACCTTTGGTGTTAATATTTTTTAATTCTATCTGTGAATTCAAATACATATTTAACACTATAGGACATCAAAGGGAGGATCAGAAAAGCAAGGCAAGTTTTAATTTTTCTCAATTCTGTGTGGAGATGAACAGATCCGAATTTTCAACTCCAATGTGAAGTCAGTGATAGTTTATGGATCAGAGACTTGGTGCGTCATAAAGAGCACCTCAAATAAACTACAGACCTTCATTAACAGTTGTCTTCGCTCAATACTCAAGATCAGATGGCCAGAAAAGAGCAACAACAGAGATCTCTGGCAATGAGCGAGCCAACTCAGCAGGAACCGATTGTGAAACAAATAGGCCGGAAGAAATGGAGATGGATTGGCTGGCCATACTCTGAGGAAACAAACCATCAAGTGACATCACTAGACAAGCCATTGCTCGAGTGGAACCCGAGTGGGAAGCGGCGAGTTGGTCATCAGTGCAAGGGTGACTTGGAGGAGGTGATGTGAAGAGGAGATGAAAACGTGTGGACAGACTTGGAGCCAGGTGAAGAGTCTAGCAGAGAACCGAGCGCAATAGAGACGCATGGCTGAAGCCCTATGTTCCTCTAGGAATTAAAGGAAATAATAATAATTTAACACTATATTTTACTAGCTGTTCATGTAAGGGGTTTTGGGATAGTCACCAACCATTTGGTTAAAGCATGATAGGATGACGTTTCAGATTTATTTACTTTGTCTAGGCCATAAAGTCTTGGTGTTTAGGTACCCATGGGTCTATTCAACCTTTTTTATAAGTTTTTCATCTCCTCATTATAAGTAAGTAAATAAACTTTGAAAAATCAATTTTTTTAAATTATTCCTAATTTCTTATTTTAGGTTTTCTCTATTTTTGGGGTGTTACTTTCATGGTGACCAATACACTATTGGTATTATTTAAACATGAAAAAGGTTCAAAATTGGACACTGAATTTCGTCAATGTTTATGTAAAATGTATCATAAATTATTTAAACGAAAAACGCTACAAAGATCACAAAATTCTAATCATCACAATCACAACTGTATACAAAGCATTCATACGAATAATTCAATCCAAAACACTATTGTAACTGGACAAAATTCCAGTTCAATTAATTCACCTAACTGTGAAGATATTAATGAAGACAAAAGTATTACAGATGATTCAAAAGTCCAGCTAAAATCAAAATGTTTTAAACAAACAAAAGATCAATGTTTAAAGACAAATGAAATTATAGAAGACAGTACAGAACTTGAATTAATTGACAGAACGAAACACTTACTAATTAATAGTAGCAATAAAATTAAGCATCACGGCAATCATATTAACACGGAACCAATAGACTCTAATGCCTACTTAAATGATAGCACTGCAATTATTGACATCGATAACAATGATAATGACAACAATAGAAATAACATGAACACTAACAATACCCATTCTGACAATTCTAATCAAACAAGTGAAACTAGTGAAAAAGAAAACAATTTATCACTTGTTGACACATATCGTGTTATGTTCGGTGTGATTCAACTGAAGCCGATATGGCAATTTTTAATTCTACTCACTACAGTAAAAGTAAGTTGTGAATACTGTTTTTGAAAAAAAAAATTTTAGCGTGGAGATAACTGTCTATTTTTGATTTTGATTTTGATTTACAACTTGATTCCACACCGTATTTTCAGTACAAGTATGGAATTTTCAGCATGGATATCGGTAGCCCAAATTCAGGCCGACCATAGATATCGGGTGTGCGTCGGCAGGGGATCGAACCCCGGACCATGTGCATGGTCGGCGAGAGCCCTAACCACTGTGTCTATGGTATACAATACTATACGATTAATTCAATTTTAAATTTTCCTGTCGATTGATTAGACCGCAGTGTTCGGTCTCAGGTTGACATATCGGCTGCTTGTGCAGATGCTTCGACAATGTCTGGTCATGTAATTAGAAGTTAATTGGTGTATAGTGAATAGCGGTGAAATTCGGGATGTGAATTTCGTCCTGTTTGTGACTCATCATCTGGTACATCCAGACGACGAGTCCCAAGAAGGACGAAATGCGCATGCTAGTTAACAGTCTAAATTATTGGACAATAGCTTCGCAGATACCTTAATTGCTGAAATCAATCAATCACATAATTAAAAGTCATTTAGACCTATTTAGTACATAGATTAATTTATGCATTTGTCGGCACACTTAATCAGATTAAGTTCGTTTCTTTCACTGAACACAAAGTGTGAAAATATGGCCAAAATAGTGGGTGGCTCACCATCACACTGCACTCTGAATTGTTGTAAGATAGGGTTAGACACAGTCGACAGGAAATTCTGAAAACAGGGTTAGGGCTTCTTGGCACTTACCAGTTGTCAGTAAGGGGTATCTGCAGTCTTGAAGAAACTCATGTCTCCTCTGAGAGTCGAACGTAAGACAGTCAGAGACGTTGCCATTGAGTTATTTGGCCTCACAATTGATCTCGTGTAGGACCTTAATGGATATTTTGACTAAATACTAGGTAGTAAGTAATTGGTGTCATGCTTCTAGACCGAATTCGATCCCTCACGTCCACTTTATATTACTTATAATAATCCAGTGAAATGCACGGAACATTATCACATCTTCACTTAAGAAATTCCACCAGTGAACTGAGATATACAATAGTTATTTTTAAGCTTTTATAAAAAACAGGTTACTGTCAATGTTACTAATGAATACTGAAGTAGCAATTTATGAATCTGTGAGCCTCCCAATTAAATATTTACTCCATAAGAGACTTTTGCGGCAAAAGGTAATTGTCAAGGAACTTAGCCCTAAGTTCCTATTGTAACAAAGACGCTTTGAACCGATAATGACTATGTATTTTTCCAAACTTTAAATCCAAAACACCAGTATTCTTTGAACGAATTTATATTGTTTGGCAATTAAAGCAAGACAAAATACAAAATTTGTATTCGTGTTCTTTCCGCCTTCTTCCAACTTGCATGCGATCGCACCATTCGCGCCTTCGAGTTGCCCACCAATGGCTACCAGTTCTAATAAACAAACGTTCAATGTTCACGTCCATTGACAGTAATCTTTGTACCATTTAATTTATAATTCGAATCTGTTAAACAATGAATTATATCCAAAGTCTCCATTTATACACATTTAGAAATACTTACTTTTCAATAAGATTCAATCGATGAATAGTGGGTGATTAGTAGTGGAATATATGATGCGCATTTCATCCTACTTGGGACTCGACTTCTGAATGTGCCTGTATTCCCCAGTGACTGGTGGTGTTCCCACCTTGGCTCGAATCCAGTACCCATCGTTTCAAACACCATCACTCACTGGGAAATGCAGGTACATCCGGACGACAAGTCTCAAATAGGACGAAGTGTGCATCCTGGATTCCACCAAATGACTTCAAGTTACATGACCAGACATTGTCGAAGCATCTGCACAAGAAGCCAACATGTCAACCTGAGACCAAGCACTTTGGTTCAGTCAGTCGATGGGAAAATCTAAAAGGGAACTCAATCATTTTCAATAAGATTGTTGTTTCTAGCAACAAATACAAAGTGAACAATTTAAATTAATCGAGGCAGTTTATTTTGAACTTGAAAACGTCTTGTTATACACACAAGATAGTGAAGATTACATGAATAATTACCAACACCATGAAGCTTCCCTATTGATGAAAGACATTGCAATACCCTATCTATACACCCATGATACTGAGAATTATTATTATTCTTAGGAGAGGGGTGTATAATTATAGGATTAGTAGGCAAAATTAAAACTTTACATAACATGATGTGAAATTTGATAAGATAGAGTTCAGGTTCACAAAACAATATTTTGATTCTGAATGACAAATGGGACAAGTGTAATAATACCGGAAACAGTTCGAATTGAGAACAGTAAATTGTAACAATAATAATAATAATTAACTTAATAAACAAAATAAAAAATAAGTAAATAAATGTTTATCCCTCTACGGCCAAGTCAGAGGTAGGGATTGTACATACTTCTTTTGTCTTGAATTCATGAATGGCCAAGGTCTCCACTGTCTTTAGAAGTTTATCTCGAAGATTAAGCGGTTAGTTAGCATGAATTTAACAGATGATCTTATGAACATGCTCAGGGTTAACAGAGTGACGGAAGTCGATCAAGTGTTCTAAAATAGAGCTTTGCACACCCTTCCTTTCTCCCTTGTAAAACCATGCTGGAATATGTTCTCGTATTCGTATGGAAAGAGTTCTATGGCTATTGCAAATGTGTACCTCGATCCATAAGATCAGATGAACTTACAGCTCCACATGGAGACAATTAGACGAGGGAGCTTATCTTTTGAAGAGCTGGAGAACAGTGTACTACTTGTGAAGGATATTTGTAGTTTTGCAGCAAAGGACGTCTTACTGACTGATTTAGAGAGACTATTTTTGAGCATATCTTTGAATTCTAAATTCATGAAGGTGGTTTTATTTTTAACTGAGTCAGTGATCAGACGGACTGCTTATCAATAAATAAGTTCGAATAACCGTACTCTGTGATAGTGCCTCTTGAGAAGCGGAGTTCTGAGTCAACGCAGTCAGAACTATAAATGTTTCTTATCCTAAAGCGGAGCGAGCGAATTAAGTTCCTTTTCCCGAAGATAAGAACCGAACTATAAAAATTATTTAGTTGTTCATTCCATCTACGTTTCCGGTGGATTAATCTTTTGAGAGATCTATCATTACGTTTAGTGATGCATACATCAAGAGAAAGAATACCTAGTTCAGATTCCTTTTCTATGATAAATAGCAAAGAAGGATAGCAGTTGTTAGGTGCACACAAAGCATCACTAAGGATTAAGTCCTGATTGCAAGTGACAAAATTTTCATCCACGTATTCTCTCTAAATGTCAAACTGACCGATGGTTTGAGTAAGTTATGGGTTTTCAAGCTTTATGACAACACAATCAACCAGTAGTGGAACTGGCAGCGATCCCATAGCAATGTCATCTATCTGTCTAAAAATCTCATTATCGAAAGTGAATTGAACATTCAAGGTGCATCTCAATAAGAGTTCTTAGATGTAGGTTATTGGCATTCAAATGTCTAAACTATGTACATCGATATGATCGCATGTATAGCAGACAGAGGTGATACAGATAACCAACCAACAACCACAAGCAACAATCACAATCGACAGGAGAAATTTAAAAGATGTCACTTCCTTCACTTATCTAATAAGCATCGTTCCAACTACAGGAACTGATCAAAATATCAAAGCCAAAATTGGAAAAGTAAGACAAACATTCATCACTCTGAAATCAGTTTGGAAATCTTCTATGTGGGTCAGAAACCTGGCGTTAGTGTCACACAAAGTATTTCCTATAGGTTGCAGACTTTTATCAACAGGTGACTTTTCTGGCTCCCAGTGAAGATCGAACAACCAGTAATAATTAACGACAAGAAACCCTAAGAGCGAAATAACCACGAATCTGTTGCTCGACAAATATGTGAGAGAAAATGTAGACGGATTGTGTATACGTTGAGGAGACCGTCGAATTACATCATGCTCAATGCAGGCGATCACTTCAGTGGAACCCGAATGGGAAAAAAAGCAGGTCGTCCGAGACTGATACGGAAGAGATCGTTCGGGGAGGAGGGGATGATAGACTAGGGTGATCGTGTCACTAGCAAGCTGGAGAAGACAGCAGAAAATAGAAAAAGCGGAGACACACTGTTGAAGTCCTATTTTCCACTCGGAATCTAAGGGAGTCATAAAATATAGAGACAGTTTCCATGAGGATATATCAGTAAACACTAAAGCCACCTCTAATGAGAGTACTACTTTGTCTTAGACATTAAACTCTAATATTCTCAATACATTTAAATATATATCATCAATGGAAAACTTAGATACTTGCCTTCTAAATGGTTGCACTATTTCAACTAAACACTGAGTGATCCCATGATAAGGGGAAGCCGCCACATCGAGAATCAGATGGAAGGGTGTTCTTGCTTTGTGATTCTTCTTGATTCCAAGCAAATGTAGTATTATGCAGCCAACTAGTAGGATGTGTTCATACAAATCTGACACCAGAATAAAAATTTATTTTTCTTGTTTTATTTTTTCAATTAAAATATCTTTCAGTTGACTTTCAATTAGATGTGTCCTGTTCGTTTGACCAATTTTTAAAAATTCTACCCGTCATCACATTCTCAGTGGTGTTTATTTTAACAGGGTAGGATTGCTAACCTCACGCTTAACCTTCCCTCTTTTTACCGGCTTAGCGAGGTCTAGGAGTTTTCCACCAGCTGGGGATCAAGTCCCAGACCATGTGAGTCGTGCTTGTCAAGCATTCTACCGTTGAACCACTGACGCACTTGGTTTCACCAATACAGAAATAAAATTGGTGTAAAAAAGAACATAATAACGTTGACATTTCTGTTTTATTCGTTTCTTTTTTCTAAAAAAAAAGAAATATCATTATTCAATGTTTATTTAATACATAAATCCCGAAATATAATTAATAATAATAATGGATGGAAGGAGACATTATATTCTAATTCAACAAAATAAGAAAATGTCAATGATGACTAAGT